TTTTGCCACTGTTTTGTATTTTGTAAATGTATATTTGTGTAGGTCTTTTTATTTACAGCACTTTGGTCAACCATATTGTTTTTATTAGTGTTTTATAAACAAACTTGATTGGATAGGGCACTGTCCGGTTTCCGAAATGTGCTAAAAATAGCTCCAATGACTGCGCATGCGCGCATGTTTCGGACAAACTCTGTCCGACTCCGTTGAGTACTACTGTGTTCTCCACATAAGCGTGTGTATTTATTTGGGCTAAATCATTGAATCATGGTGACAACAAAACACTGCAGTTATGGTGCTTGTGGGAGCGATTTCAGTTACTCTGAAAAGGACTATATGAAAGCAGTAACATTCAACCTGTTCGTTAAACCACACCATCGAACCAGACCAGGACCAGACCAGGACCAGACCAGGACCAGACCAGGACAAGTGCAAGAGGTGGGTGCTTGTGGTCAGCAGAATTTCTCTCATGAAAATGTTAAAAAGGACATGTTTTTTCAAAACACTTCGCTGGACCAACTGTGGAGCCTCCAGATCCAGTCCTAGCTACGTTTAGCTGGGACTGGACCTGGACCGCTGTATCAGGTCCGTCTGAGCTCTTCTGAATGTAGTTAGCCCCATCAATCCATATTAGTATTGTTTGTCCTAATCCAGAATGTATACAATTCTCACACCTGAAGAAAGATGAGAGGGATTTTTTCAACTTCGTGACTATCGGAAAATAAGCACAGACGAAGCGCGTTGGGGTCCGCTTATTATACGGCTTTGTACCAACTGAACACACAAAATAAACTTCTGTCACTATTCATGCCAAAAGGTTTATTTAATGAGTGCAAACAAAATAGTTCCCAAAGGTTTTAGTTCACCTACTTTAAAAAAGCGATCGCTTTAGTCGCATTAAAAAAGTATTTTTGTCATGAAAACCTTAACAGATAATTCTGAAAACCTCTGTGCACGTGTGTTGTATGAATATTATATTCTAGCATTAACATTTAAATATGTTGATTGATTGTCGTTTGCGTTTACTGAGTGTGGCTAGCTCCGATAGTTTCTCTCTCAGAGACAGTAGTGGTGTAGCCCGTTGTGACCCCATGGATCTATTATAATATCGGCTGACTGTAGTTAACTAAATGATCAAACTAATTACGAAATGGACAGAACAAAAAACAACTTGATAAATGGAAGTTAATCAGAGCAAAATAAACAAAGAAGGCGCTAACATTGCAATTTAAATGACTAGATAATGTTAGCATAATCCTCACCATTACCTTTTTATCAAATCAAACTTTCTACCAGTTACTGGAAGACCACGACATTCAAGCCAACGTTTTAATTGGTCTACACTATGATCCCTGATGGTTTGATGGTGGAATTTTGCCCCTGGTTTATCATTTTCGTCTAAAGTGACAAGAGGTATTTGATTCATTTTGGCAGTGTTTGTCCGAAACATGTGGGCGGGAGTTGACAGGCGGCGGGGGCGTGTCTTAGTGACGTCATTCAGATAGTTCGCTATTGGATTAGGCATCTCTCTTTCAGCTGTCGAGAATCTTCTGGTGCATGGTTGAATCAAAATGTACATCGCTTCTATATTTCAGCTCCGCAGGATAACAGCAGTGTGTGTGTTTGTGTGTGTGTGTGAGGCTGGTGTGGACTGGTTTGGTTCGGCTCTCTCTGTTTGACATGCAGCTCAGGACTCAGGACATACTGGACACTGCTCTGCTTGTTCCGACAGATCAACAGTTGCATTCAGGCGAGGGAGTTTTTTGAATGTTCTATAGGCGACGGATGGAGTGGTTTAAACCGTTCAGCCTTTTATTACTACTACAGCGTCTATAACTACAGTATCTATAACTACAGCGTCTATAACTACAGCATCTATAACTACAGTATCTATAACTACAGCGTCTATAACTACAGTATCTATAACTACAACATCTATAACTACAGCATCTATAACTACATCGTCTATAACTACAGTATCTATAACTACAGCGTCTATAACTACAGCATCTATAACTACAGTATCTATAACTACAGCGTCTATAACTACAGTATCTATAACTACAGCATCTATAACTACAGCATCTATAACTACAGTATCTATAACTACAGCCTTCTATAACTACAGCGTCTATAACTACAGCACCTATAACTACAGTATCTATAACTACAGCATCTATAACTACAGTATCTATAACTACAGCCTTCTATAACTACAGCGTCTATAACTACAGCACCTATAACTACAGCATCTATAACTACAGCACCTATAACTACAGCATCTATAACTACAGTATCTATAACTACAGTATCTATAACTACAGCATATATAACTACAGCATCTATAACTACAGTATCTATAACTACAGTATCTATAACTAAAGCATCTATAACTACAGCATCTATAACTACAGTATCTATAACTACAGCCGTCTATAACTACAGTGTCTATAACTACAGCACCTATAACTACAGTATCTATAACTACAGTATCTATAACTACAGTATCTATAACTACAGCGTCTATAACTACAGCATCTATAACTACAGTATCTATAACTACAGCGTCTATAACTACGGTATCTATAACTACAGTATCTATAACTACAGTATCTATAACTACAGCATCTATAACTACAGTATCTATAACTACAGCCTTCTATAACTACAGCGTCTATAACTACAGCACCTATAACTACAGAATCTATAACTACAGTATCTATAACTACAGTATCTATAACTACAGTATCTATAACTACAGCGTCTATAACTACGGTATCTATAACTACAGTATCTATAACTACAGTATCTATAACTACAGTATCTATAACTACAGCATCTATAACTACAGCATCTATAACTACAGTATCTATAACTACAGCATCTATAACTACAGTATCTAGAACTACAGCCTTCTCTAACTACAGCGTCTATAACTACAGCACCTATAACTACAGCATCTATAACTACAGTATCTATAACTACAGTATCTATAACTACAGTATCTATAACTACAGCGTCTATAACTACAGCATCTATAACTACAGTATCTATAACTACAGCGTCTATAACTACAGTATCTATAACTACAGCATCTATAACTACAGCATCTATAACTACAGTATCTATAACTACAGCCTTCTATAACTACAGCGTCTATAACTTCAGCACCTATAACTACAGCATCTATAACTACAGTATCTATAACTACAGTATCTATAACTACAGTATCTATAACTACAGCCTTCTATAACTACAGCGTCTATAACTACAGCACCTATTACTACAGCATCTATAACTACAGTATCTATAACTACTGTATCTATAACTACAGCATCTATAACTACAGCATCTATAACTACAGTATCTATAACTACAGTATCTATAACTACAGTATCTATAACTACAGCCTTCTATAACTACAGCGTCTATAACTACAGCACCTATAACTACAGCATCTATAACTACAGTATCTATAACTACAGCATCTATAACTACAGTATCTATAACTACAGTATCTATAACTACAGCCTTCTATAACTACATCGTCTATAACTACAGCACCTATAACTACAGCATCTATAACTACAGTATCTATAACTACAGTATCTATAACTACAGCATCTATAACTACAGCATCTATAGCTACAGCATCTATAACTACAGCGTCTGTATTACACCAGTGTTGCATCACCTGTTGTTGGGACGCAGTATTTATCATCATTTTAAATTTAAAACAATGCTAATTAAAAAGGGAAACACGGAGTAAAAGTCTTGGATCTGTGTCTGTCACACACAGACTTGGGAGAGCTAAAAACAAACGTACAGATAATACTTATGTATAATTGTCACTAAAGCTAATCCCTGTAGCTACAGCGCTCCGTCTGAGATCCTTTGATGGTATAATCTTTCCTCACCTGAATCAAAATACAGTATGTAGAAAGTAGTCCCAGTAGTCCCAGTATTCCCAGTATTCCCAGCTCACACACAAGAGGAGTTTAAAATCTGGTTTGAACAAAATTGCGAGTTCCATCTTTGAGAACTGAGGCGCAAGAAGTTTGAACGTTTCTGGCATTTGTGGAATTTTCAATTTGAAGATATGTAGGGTTCGTTCAGATACAAAGTGTAGTGCATCATGACTACAGTAGAACCAGATTGTGAGATTACGGAATCGTCTCCCACATTAAAACTAAGGTAGATGTCGGATCACATGTTTCTGGAAAAGTAGATAAAGTGTGACCACCTCTGGTATACACCGTCCGGTCGCACATGCGCAGTTAATCGCTATGTCTGTTTCTGTAGCTGATTAGCATGTAGCTATCTCTTATTTTTGGCAAAAATTTAAGCAACAGAAAAAGGTTCTGGAGGAAGATGGGAAGAGACAAAAGGAGGTAGAGGACCGAAGGGAAACTAGAGAGATTCTATGGGAATGCACATATTTTAAGCTCACAAAAACGCTGAACCAGAGTTGGTCCAGTTAAAGTGAACCGGACCAGAAGTGTGAATGCGCCCTGATCCCATATAATGTCAAAAGTGCCCTGTGTATGTTCTGCTGGTCCACCTCTGCAAACTTTCTTAGAAACAATAGTGCTGATGATAAGAATGGTGAGAGAATGGTGACCTTGTGAAGCCTCACACGCTGCAATCAATGATTAAAAACACAAGGTAATAATTGCTTAAATCAAGGGTTTTTTGTCTTAATTGGAGTTCATTCTAAGTGGAACCAAGCCACTTAGTCTCATTTCAACATCTGTTGCTTTATTTTCTCATTCCAAGGGAGACATTTCTTTTTAAAACAAGATCATTTGGCTTTGTCCCATTGGTAGATCTAGTTTGAAGGCAGCCAAAATGTCAAAATTAATTTACATTTAGCCAAGTTTGAGCAATTTTTGACTGATTTTTCATCACTTTTTGCAGTCAGGATCCAGACATGTGGAGAGGAGAGTGCTTGAGCGTATACTTCTGTTCGTTAGACATTTGACTCAGATTAGTCCAGACCACCTATGGACCACGGCGCAGTCCTCGCCACGTTCTCACCGTCCTCCCGCACACACATGGGAGGAGCATCAGCGTCTAGCCAGAGGTTGTATCCGCTCTCCAAGCCCCCGGTCCAGCCCCCGGTCCAGCCCCGTCTCCCCCCGGCATCCACCCCACAGCCGCACACTCAGACAGACCCCGAACCCCTTCCCACCCCTCCCACCGCCCCGGCCACGGACCTGGGGGGCTGACAAAGTTGTCTCTTTGGCAGTCGCGCCTCCTATTCAAGCACTAATTTATTCAAAGGAGAGTTTTATCCCCACGATGCGATTATTATGATAATTGGGAGACCCGGGCCCCCTTCTGCACGGCTCTACCCCTCGCCGCCGGGACAGTGAGAGCTGATTTGCACGCTCTTCAAGCCTCCACGGTCACATTCCTGGACTGCTGGCCTTCAAAGACGGGCAACAATGAGGCTGGAGCACGCTGGATGTGGTGTACTTGATCCAGGCGGGTCTACAGCAGAATAGCGGGGTCTGGGTTTTGGGGTGAGAAAGAAGGGGGCCAGTATTCTTTTGGCTTTGTGTCAAGCGAATACTGGTAACTTGACGAGATTACATGGAACTTTTAAAATCCCACTTGATTTGTAAAAGAGAGCTACAGTAGAGAAGGCGCGTCCTCCATTATGGTTCTTTTCTCAGATCCACGGCTTTCAAGATGGCGGACGGTTGAGACGGAGTGAAAGAGCAGCTTCACCTCAACAGGGTGATAGTCTGGGTTTCTGTCTTTTAGGCAAAAAGTGGGTAAAAGACAGGGTTGTCAGGTCCAGGCCTTTCTGTGTGGCGTTTGCATGTTTTTCCCGATATCTGGTTGGGTTTGCTCTTGGCTCTGGCTTATCCCACCACCCTAAAGATTCATAAAATATCCCCCAATGTCCTTATTAACATTTCTGGACAGTGGTTATCCTGCCCCATATGGACCAATGTGTTTCTTATTATTGCATTTCAAAAGTTCGAACTGTTTGATTCTCTGATCTGCTGTTGGCGAATTAACAACTTTGTAATTCCTGCTGTTGTAATTAAGGGATATACACACATACATTGAATTGAGCCATTTGCAAAACCAAAAAAGCAGCAAAAGGTTGTAAAAAATATACATGTTCAAAGAAGGGATTGATATGAATTTCTATAGTTGTGATGGGAGACCTCTGGGAACAGCAGGTGCTACAGTGGGGCAGCTGTGGCTGTACAGTGCTGAACTGTGGTTGTGTCCTTAGGCAAGACACTTCACCTACATTACAATGAGTCTGGTGAATGGCTGATGGTGGTGAGAGGGGCAGATATACTGTATAGTAGTACTGATATACTGTATAGTAGTACTGATATGCTATATAGTAGTACTGATATACTGTATAGTAGTACTGATATACTGTATAGTAGTACTGATATACTTATATTGATACTGTTAAACAGTACTGTATATTGGTACTGATACAGTATACTGTATAGTAGTACTGATATACTGTATAGTAGTACTGATATACTGTATAGTAGTTCTGATATACTGTATAGTACTACTGATATACTGTATATTGGTACACATTGGTTGCCTGGCTTTGGGAAATGTCTTTGAGTGTCCAAAGAGTGCTATATAAAACCGCTTCAGTATGTTATTATTATTATTATTAATCATTATTATTAAGTTCTAACGACATGCAAGCTCTACACGGTTCCACATGGTTTCAATCAGACGCCTTCAATCACAGGGAAACTTCAGCTTGTCTTAGCAACCGTCTCGGCAACCATTCTGCCCCCGTTATTCAATTCAATTAAGTTTTGTGTAGCCCTAATTCACAACAGCAGTTATTTCTGAGGACTTTACAAAGCTGTCGATTCGCCAACAAAGATCAGAGAATCAAACCACCTGCATCGGTCACCTTCAAAACAATCAAACAATGGCTGAAAAGAAACTAGTGACCACTAGACTCTTAACTTTTCCCTGTGCTGTCTCTATACTGTGGTGTTATTTTGTATCTTATTGTATTGTAAGTTGTCATTGCCTATGTACTTTCCTGCCGAGGGACTACGAATGAAAACTAGCTTGGTAGCTATAAGCCGGCATATTTACATTAGTTTTATACTGATGTTCATTAATGTGCATTGTCCCTATCAAATAAATAAATAAATAAATCGGCAAGGAACAACCCTGTCGGAATAAGTACCCAAATAAGGAAATTGGCTCCAGCTAGCTTATATTGGAATTTGCTTCTTTCACATTTAGGCAGCACCGGGTCAGTCTACTCCTTATACACATTATCTATGGTTTTTTGCTTATTTTGCGGGTCTGAAAAGTTTGAGTTTGTTTTAGACGGATTCAAATCATGAGTAAACATTACCACACTTCGAAGTCGGACCCAGGGACTTTTGCAAAACATCAAAATAGGACTTAAAGCCAAACGACAAGAAGCATATTCCGACCAACAATGCGGAATGTGGAGTACTTAGGACCAGGATTAACTTTGAAAGACCACGGGTTCCACATGGTCTCGATCTGAACTCTGATTATCAACCGTATTTGCTTTGACGAAATGGTCTTACTTATGTTTAAACACACATTTCCCGATTCGTCATTGACATCATCAAAGCGACGGGTACAGGACAGATTGGCTGTTTTAGTCCTTAATGATATTTTAGTGCGTGGGCTTGAAGCCGGTTGATCAAAGTAAAAACCCACGACTCCAAAAAATAGAGAAATGTTTGAAAAATATTGAGCCGGTCTTCCACCTGCAGCTGAGAGTCTAAAGCTGTGTTATTATTGAATGTAAAACCTCTTTTTCACACACATTTTCATACAAAGCGATAAAGGAATGGAACTAGCTCACGACAGACATTCAGTGAAGTCTTGGACAGTTTTTCCAATGTGGTTTTACTGCAAATGGCAAAGAAATGCTTGTATTTTGTGTCAATTTGTTGAGGTGGGGGGTCTATATACTATACGCCACACACGACAACTGTTGTATGTAAAGCCCCCACTACCATCCATTCACTCCCTCATTCCATTAAGACCTTTTTGACATGTCTTTAGTGGTAGGGGAAACAGGAGCGCCTGGAGGAAACCTACGCAGACACGGGGAGAACATGCAAACTCCACACAGAAAGGCCTGGAAGGTGGTGGAATCGCGCCCAGGACCTTGTTGCTGTGAGACACAAGCTCTGACCGCTTATTATTGTTATTGTATTGTTTTTTAATGTAACCAGGGGTAACCAGGGACTGCAGATGGACATTAGCAGAACGGCCTTTGGTCTTAATGTTGCTAACCTAAATGAAGGTTTTAAACTTGGGAACAAACTGCAGTGAAAATAAAAGCAGAGGAGCGTTAGAAATAGGAGCGCAATCGGTCTAAGTTATTCAGAAAGATTTAAGTTTAACAGTTGGTACAAACAAGATGAGAGATGAAGAGGTCCTTCTTCAAGTGTCTCAGGGTCTTGTTCACTAGAAATTCAAAGATGGGACGTGAGATCGACAGACGGTAGCAGTGTCTGTCTGTTGTGGTGAAGAGGGAGCAGCGTCTGCAGTCAAAGCTCTCAATTTACCGGTCAATCTACGTTCCCTTTCTCACCTCTGCTCCTGAGCTCTGTGTATTGACCGAAAAGACAAGATCGCGGATACAAGCGATCGAAATGAGCCTTCTCACAGGAGTGGCTCGGAGTAGAGCCGCTGCTTGGACTGGCTCATAAACAGACCCAATGTCAAAAGGCGGTTTTGGAGTTTTAATAGAAAAAGGCAAAAATCCCAAAACAATAGCCTGATGCAAAAACACGAGGGAACAAGACACTCTGGCATATGAGGCCGGGAGCTCACGAACTAAACACACAAAGACACAGGTGAGACATATCCAGGGTGGGGCAGTCATCAGGGATCTAGTCTGGTCTTATCCTTCTGTAAACTCTGGTCCATGATCATTTCCTACATGTACGTCTGGTCTTACCATGTGTAAACTCTGGTCCATGATCATTTCCTACATGTACGTCTGGTCTTACCATGTGTAAACTCTGGTCCATGATCAATTCCTACATGTACGTCTGGGTCTGATCCTAGTGGCTGCAGTTCCCTCGGTTGAATCCTCTCCGACCAATCAGAGAGCGGAGGAGGCGGGTGTTGTAAGTCGGTGTCGGTGACGTCAAGAGTTTGTGCTGAATTTGCTGGTTGTAGTTTGCTGGAGAATGCGATAGTAAAATAATCTGTTCTGGTTCAATCCAAATATCAAGAAATTGAAGCCGGAGCAAGAGGAATGTTTAGTAAATGTCATTGTTGTAAAGATATTGTGGTTCTTCTCCCCACGGGCTCCGTTAGCAGCAAAGTAAATCACTAAAGCTAGGTTAACTGCTAAAAGCCTCACTCACCCAGGCTCATTACATACTTCACGGTAAACTCCTCCCACCTGTTAACAGAGCTTTATGGAGCATATCCAGACCTTAGTGCGGAATGAAATGAGTACAATGGTATGGTAAGACCAGGCTAACTGTGACTTTAAAGTCTTTATATATGTGTCTGGTTGGTCCCAAGTTCAATTTGTGAGAAGCTCACAAAAATCATTAATTATTCCCGGTGCTTAGAACCTGCAGTGGTGCGACGCTGATGTGAAAGGGATGCTTTTTGGATTTGACAGAGAATACTTAGACTTGATGAAGAGGAGAGGATGGAGAGCAGAGGAGGAGGAGCAGAGGATGGAGAGAAGACGATGGAGAGAAGAGAGTGGAGATAAGAGGATGGAGAGAAGAGGATGGAGAGCAGGGGATGAGGAGCAGAGGATGGAGAGAAGAGGATGGAGAGAAGGGGATGGAGAGAAGGGGATGGAGAGAAGAGGATGAGGAGCAGAGGATGGAGAGAAGAGGTTGGAGAGCAGAGGTTGGAGAGGAGAGGGTGGAGAGCAGAGGTTGGAGAGGAGAGTTTGGAGAGAAGGGGATGGAGAGAAGGGGATGAGGAGCAGAGGATGGAGATGATGGAGAGTAGCGGATGCAGAGGATGACAACAGAGAATGCAGAGGATGCAGAAGATGGAGAGCAGAGGATGGAGAGCAGAGGATGGAGAGCAGAATCCTCCAGCTGCATTGATGAAGATGTGAAGCAAAACTGTATCCACGACAACTGAAGGAGAAATACTTCCACTAAATGAATCGCATCAAGTCAAAGGGTTATTTTTAGCATAAAGTTCGCGCAGATGCTTAAAACAACTTGACTTTTCGATTTAGAACTAAAACATGAAAATATGTTCTTTATTGTTTGTGAGGTCAATGGGAGAAAACTGTCAAACCTTCAACTTGGACTATAGTTTAATCACAAACAAGATGGAGGCAATAACAACTCTGTAGATAGAGAGAGAGAGAGAGAGAGAGACTGAGAGAGACTGAGAGAGAGAGAGAGAGAGAGAGAGACTGAGAGAGAGAGTTAGAGACAGAGAGAAGGACACAGAGAGAGAGAGACAGAGAGAGACAGAAAGAGAGAAAGTCACACAGAGAGGCATAGAGAGAGACCAGAGAGAGAGAGACGCCAGAGACAGACACTCAAAGAGAGATAGAGAGACAGAGAGAAAGACAGAGAGAGAGACAGAAAGAGACAGAAAGAGAGAAAGTCACACAGAGAGGCATAGAGAGAGAGAGAGACCAGAGAGAGAGAGGCCAGAGACAGACACTCAAAGAGAAAGAGAGAGGCCAGAGACAGACACTCAAAGAGAAAGAGAGAGGCCAGAGACAGACACTCAAAGAGAAAGAGAGAGGCCAGAGACAGACACTCAAAGAGAGAGAGAGAGGCCAGAGACAGACACGCAAAGCGAGAGAGACAGACAGACAGACAGAGAGAAAGAGACCAGAGAGAGAGGCCGGGACACACAAAGAGAGACAGGGAGAACTATGGTCAATTTTGAATATGTTACCGTGATTTCAAGTTGATGAATAAGTCAAAAGCAGCATTGAACAGCACTAATAACGAAAAGCGTATATTCAATTATACAAATATTCACCAATCGTGATAAAACACAAAACTCACACTAAAGGCGATAATGACAAATACTGTTAATAAAATGCTCATTAGTTTGACTGTTTTCACTTCCTCGTTCTACAGCCTGAGTCCTGGATCTTTGCTCCCTCTCTCAATATGGGCCTCCCCAAAATGTCTAACTTTGTTCCTGTTGTTTTATTTTACTTAGTCATTCCTTGCTGATGCAGGATGTGTTTGTTATTACTCCCTGTCTTCGAACTGTTTGATTCTCTGATCTGTTGCCGCCGAATCAACAACCTTCAAAGTAATACAAAACTGAATTAAATTGCTTGAGGGAATCCGACAACATACAGGAGTTGGTCGGCTGTCGTTGGGTTTTACAGTGAACCACATTGCACCTGTACAGCCTGAATCACTAGTTTTCATTACCGGGACCCAGAATAGAAAATCTCCACCACTTTCTCCTGCATGTGAACAACCTCTCTCCTTACGCACCGGGACCCCCCCTGCGCGTTTTGGCCCTTCGCATCTGCTCTTGTCTGCGCCCCTGACCCCTCTCACCATTGTGTGCGTGCGGGATTTTTTTTTTTTTTTTTTTAGCTTTTTCTAATAGGCTCTAGGGGCGGGGACATTTTAAACCAAACCTGCACCATGTCATAAAGGGGAGGGTCTCTGCAGGCTGTATATAGACATGCCCAAACTTCATATCAGGCCGACTATCCAGGAATGGCTTGGTTGGAGAGCGAACGTAGAGGAGAGAGAGAGAGCTCCGACTGGGTCTTATAATAATAGCACCACTTTGCATTTTCTCTCTTTCTCTATTTTTTTCTTTTTTTGGAAAATAATGGGGACGTTCATAAAATCCCAAAGGGCGCTCCTACATATATTTTCCCTCTCTCTTTCCAATCGAGGGGGGAGTCGGTGAATGGATGCAGCCGGAGCCACGTCACGCCGCGTCGCAGCCATGACCAGCTCGACAGCCAACCCAGACCGCGTCTTCTCCGCCATCTGCTCACCGAGGAGGACGCGCTGGCACTGTCTTTGGCACTGGCACTGGCACGGGGGCGCGCTGAGGCTCCGTGAGTATATAGTACATGTGTTTTTGTGCGTCTTGATTGAATGTCCATGTGGGGTTTTACCGGAGGGACGTGACGGGTCAGGGCGATGCGCTTGTGGGGAGAGGACGCACGCACTGAGGAGGAGATGAGGAGATGAGGAGAGAGACGTGGATGCTTCGCGTTGTTGTAATCGCGTGCACGAGCGAGCGGGAGAATGCTTTCACTTTCGGCTCTTTCTCAGTTCGCGCGACTGTAACTGAACCGATATTTAAGGCTGGAAATAATATCAGTAATAGTAATTGTAATAGAAATACATGAAGTAACTCACCACTGCTTTCCCCACTGTGGGATATATACAGGTACTCGTAAATTATCTTTGTTGCTCTGAAACATCAACAACTAATTAGCACTCATTCTTTGGCTTGATTTTAACGTTTTGAGAGCTTTTCCACTATTCTAGAGATATTATCTTTAGCTTAGAATTTGATAATTGCTGTGACGTCTTGAAACACGCAGAGAAAGCAATACATGGGCTGCGTAATTGGGACTAACATGTAGAGAGATTGGCAATTGGAATAATGAAAAGTGGCAATGCAAATATTGGAGAAAGCTGAGTGTGTGTCATTCATGAAGTTTCTGTTTAAAAAATATATATATATGCATGTATTGTTGATTTAAAAAATATGAACTAAATTTTCTTGTACAGAAGTTAAATAAAAAAAACTGCAAACACCCAAGTCACTTTCCCTTATAGATCCTGGCACTATAGACTACACAATTCACCCATGCAGGCAAACACACACTCACACATACGTAAACACTCACATACACACACGCACGTTCAAATACACACACACTCACACACAGCCCACGTGGGGCTCTAATATAAGGATTACGCGGGGTACCCTATGGGCCCCTCTGTGGGTAATGGCACATACTATAATGTGAAGTGGAGGCTGGAGGCAGCTCGTCCCGTAAAGGCCAGAGAGAAGCACCCAGGTCCGGGGCCTTGACACGTGCGAGGACCGCGGCTCCAAACGCCCCACATCAAATACAATTATAGGTACAATACATGAGCACGTATATTTGTGCCTTATCCTTATATAATATCCTGTAATGTTGTACTATAATAGCATTGGTTATGTATTTAGTGTCTATGATGAAGGATGCGGAGAATGCACCTAAATGGATTTTGGGGAAGATTTTTAAATTATTATCATGTTATGTTGGAATTCCATATGCCTCTATAGCATAAGATAATATTTATATGTTAAAGGCAATACGTGGTTACAGATAGTTTAATGTGCTTTTAATATAGCATCAACAATCCACGTCTCTTTTCCTCCAACCTGTAATGACGACGTCTGGCTGTGCGTAATATCTTGATGATCCAGAGTCCTCTCACTCCCTTCTCATCCTCAACTCATGTTATTCTCGCACCTTGTAAATTGTCGCGCGGTCTGTTCGTAAACTGCATCTCTTTGTTTGCTCTTGTTGCGGTGAATAAAACATGTTTGTTGTTCTTGTTTTTCTCTTTCGCAGAGTTTTTCCCCGGAGAGACAGGAGCGCGGCCTGTCAACACGTGGCTCATTGGAGGTAGGACACCACACTCCATAAAGACACACACCATAAACACACAGCGGTTATGCGCCATGGTCGTGGCTCGTAAATTGCAGAAATGAGGCTTGGTCACACAGTTTTGGTAATTGTGGTTCGTTATTAGTTTTGGATTAAGCTATAATCTCAAACAGCGAGAAAAAAAATCTGCCCATAATATAAATGTAAAACCTTTGTGATTGATACATTTTGAGGGGAAAAAAGTCATATTTTTATGGCAAATGATTTGTTTGTATTCAATAGTATTAGAGATTATAATAATAGCTGTATTTTGAGTTTTTAATTTAGAAATACCACCGCTAGTGCTTCACAATGTCGTGCGTAAAATCTGTGCGTAATGACCTAATCGGTATGTGTTAAAGTTGAAGTGGTCCTATTAAATCACGTGGTCTTTTTTTGTCAATCTGCTTGTGTTGTAGTCTATACATGTCTTTTTAAGCTTTAATATTTTAGAGGTTAAAATAAATGGACTGTTTTAAGGTATTACATTTTAGTTTAGTGTGTGTGTGTGTGTGTGAGAGAGTGTTAACCTAAAAACTCCCATCGCGTTTCAAAAACATATATAAAACAGACCTATTCTGTGAAGTCAATTATCAGAATGGAATAAATTCATTATGATTATTTAACAACAGCACAGTCATGGAATAAGCCGACGTTAATGAAGGGACTATTAATGATAATGGGGAAATAAGTGCAATCTACATATCATTATCTCGTGTCTGCTTCTGCCTGGAGAGAGACTGGTCCAGATCAGACTTGTGGGTCGTAAAGCTGGCAGCAGTAATGTTCCTATTGCTAAATATTAGCCTGATGAATTAGCCGGAATTAGGCAGCGGAATTAGCAGCAGGCGCGGATAAATATCTCCAGCACTTTTTGACAAATGCAGTAATTTCTCAACGCCCGAACCGCAATGGGAACAACATGTATTCTTCAGACTTAGACAAAAGCACAAAGCAAATGTACACATGCTTTCTCTTTGGGTTCAAATTATAAACACACACATGCAGCCAGTTTAACCAGTGCTTATTTACAAGTCTATTTGAAGGATACATACAAAATATGCACAATAAACCTTGCATTTTGACCTTTCTACACTTCTACAGATGATGAAATAGTAATATCTTGCACAATTAAAACTAAAACAATATTAAAATGAAGGGTTTCCCAGTATTCTGCATGTGTAGCCAAGCCTATAGTGTGTATCTGTATCGTAATATATGACTATACTACACAGCTATAAATCCAGATTTCCAGGTTCAGCTCAAAACACTCCTCTCTGCTGTTGATTAAAAAACGTTTAGCCTTATCGGACCGTTCCTTCTCGAGGTGTGTATGCGGCGTGATGGTGAAAAAACGTGGTGCCTCGCCTCCTCCATCGGCCATTTCTCATTTGCTCCCTGTATCGCTCCATCATGCTGTGATTGGAGTGGGTGGGACTAGGCTGAACCATAACAGAGATGGGCACGCTCTCTGCACCGTTCACAATTAGCCAACATGGTGGACGTGTGAGGGGGATATCACCAGCTGTAATAAGGGCTGAGATATGACCTTTAGCTAAAAAACAAATATTTACAAAGAACTGTTTATTGGTATTTTAAAGTGGGATGACTGTAACTGTGCTTGTAGTCAGTGGAGTCTAGTAGCCTAGCTTAAACACTGTGCTAGCTAACATGCAGAATCATATACAGAACTGTTGTTATTAAGATATATAGAATTGTTTTTATTGCTATTGTATAAAATATGAAGTCACAAACTGGGAATTTGCTTTGGCTCAAGGTAAAATCAAGTTGTAAGAGTAAAAGACACAAGCGTGCATAAAAAAAAATCTTCTTTAAATTTTCTACTGTATACAAATGTCATTAAACCAGATTTTTTTTTATCTACAATCACTTTGGCTCAGCGTAGCATCCCGTTTTCTCTTACGCTTGAAGGATTGTGGAAGAATGGCTAAACTTGCATAGTTGCACATTTCGCATTCCCTGAACTGTTTGATTCTCTGATCTGTGTTGGCGAATTGTCAGCTTTTTTAAGTCCTTTGAGATAGCTACAGTTGTGATTTAGGATTGAACATTGAGTCAAAATAAGCAGTGGATACGCAATTTATTTATTGTTGTTCTTTCTCAGTGTTGCTGCTGACAATCTAACCTGGCATCACATCGAGACAAACCTTTCACATATTTTTTTCCTGACAGCTAAACAGCATGGATCTCTTTTTAATTTAAAAAGTGCATTTGGGCCATGGCAGGGGTGTTGCGTTTGAAGCCATCACCCTCCTGTAGCTTCGCCAGTCTCTACATGTGACTGGCGTGGGCACTTCGCATCAGCTGCCACATTGAGGGAAGCTTGCGATGCCGTCATTGCTGCCACGGTTGAACTTGGATGCGCTTTTTTTCCCGACCGGTGCCCCTTTCTAATTGTCTGATGTGGGATTTTTTGTATGTGTTCAGGACAATTAGCACGACAATCCAATCAGGGCTTTCGCAAGGGGGGTATCCAGCCTCCTGATTGGCAGTGGCGGCGTGAGGCGGAGCCAAGGGGGCCACTGCCGATGTCATAAAACCAAGGGTGAAAGATTTAAGGGGAGTTGAAGGCCTCAAACCAGAGGACTAGGCGCACATGTAGGCCCGGCGGTAGTGCAGCCTGTTTGGGATCACCTTTTTTTCTACAAGTACTATTCAAACAAGCGACTGTATATTTCACCTATTGCGTAACAACCATGCCAGCTTGCTTTTAACACTGCTTTTCTGACTTTTTCTTATTTTTTAGGTCAAAACGTGGACCATGTTTCTTCACCGGCGACTTGAGAGGATGGGTAGCCTTCGGGGTTGGTTGTTATCTTTGGTTATCTAGCTGTATGAGTGATGTACATTCTTCATAAAGCTAGATAACCGAAAGTAACAAGAATCCCATTACGCTCCTTATAAGGCATTCAAGAGCCCAAAATTCACATCTGCAACTTTGAGAGTTTAAGAAGGACGTTGGGAAGGAGCAGAAGCCATTTGAAACGAATGGTGAGTTTTGTGATTTGGAAAATGTGAAGAGAAGAGTGTTTTTTCTAGAATCTTGTGAATGTTTATGTAAATATGTAGCTATCATACAATTGTCTGTTATAAGAAGTTGTTGTAAGAACCAAATAATATTAATCTTGTGAATGTCTTGTACCAATGTGACATGTTCATACATCTTTAAATCCAGCCAGTGGCCATGCTCCTCCACAGTTGAGTTGGCGCAACAGGATCAGTTAAAATCTAATAGGCTTTATGATCATTGTGTTTGAGGCCGTATGCCGAGGCTTAGACTTAGTCATCACATGCAAACCCCTCACTCCTAAAGCGGTTGGACTTTGACAAGTTGTTTAACGCTAGCTCAGTTGGCGCCACAATCACTTCAGTTCAAAATTCCCAAACGTCACTGGCGTCAGGCAGAAGGAATGTGGGTCACATACGGCGCTCTGAATTATACATATGCTCCGACTCGGATGGGATTGAATGAGTTAAGAATGCGCCCTCTGAGTTAATCCTCACTCTCAACTCCTGCTGGTACCTAAGCGAAAAGACAAGAATTTGTTTTGGGGCAGTTGTGTTAAGTTGTTGATTTTTTCCCCTACTCACTCTCTCTTTGGTCTCAACCTCCCCACCTACTCTTTTCTCCCGTCACGCCATGAAAAGATGTTTGATTTGGGGTCCGGGTCGTTGTTTGATTTGACGTGACAGTTGGCTGGGCTGTGAATGGGCTGTAGCCGAGCCTCCGATTCTGGAGGTGCTACCATGTGGAAAGGCCGTATGGGATTGCGCTCAATACCACAAGATTTAGCCAGCCGGGGGGAGTGGTCCGGAGGCAATCAAGCAGAAAGTAACCCCAGTGACGAGAACCATGGGCGAGAGAAGAGGAACAATCTAAGCCTTTAGGTTCCTTGCCCGGGCCCGTGGTGAGTAGTAATTGGTCAATCAGATCTTCAACCTCCAGGCCTGTGATGGCTGATTGAAGGTGTGATTTCTTTTCTGACCATCAAAGCTAGAGGGTCACTCCTGCTGTGCAAGATTGTTCCCCAGGTCTGAAGGCTTTCCCCTCTGATTTGAAGCGACCGGGCAAGCAGCAAGCTCCAATACATGTCACACAATGCTTTCTCAACACGCCTCTACTAAAACATCTCTGCTGAGTCCAAATATTCGACTTGGCACGGTGCGAGTTTTTGAGTATTCAAGGCGGCTAATATTAAATTCCAAAAATGGACTCATGGCAACCTTTTCCTGGCGGTGTCAGTCTGGACAAGCCCTGCGGTTGTGATTTGCTTGGTGCATTGCAGCTGCTGAGTGTGGTGTTTGAGCTCCAGCGAGGGAGGAACCAAAGCTGTGACAGGAAGTGACAGTGAGGCATGTATCGATGTAACACCTGCTTTAACAGGTTGTCCTTCTACAGATTACCCGTATGTTCCAATAGAAGTCACCAAAAGACTAAATTCTGCTGAGGTAGAGCATTCGAATTGTGATTTTTATATGCAAAGAAAACTTTTTCAAAATTGCATATAGTAATTTAAAAAAAGGCCTTATTTGATGTAGTGACGCAAACTCTATGGGATCAGGTCATTCACTAAGCGCATGACCTTGAGTTGAATGGTTGAATGAATTGCTACACTGCTAATTGTTCTGGCTGGATCTAATGTCATGTCTGAAGTAACTTGGTCATGCCTCGCCAGTTTTATATACGGGATATGATCCAGAAATGGAAATCATTTTTTAACATTGAAGGCAATTCAGATTAATACCAAAACTGTTTGCTGTGACTGTCAAACAGTTGTACAATAGATCTTTAATGAAGCCATTTTGTCACCCCCAACCCTGAAATTCCATTATTGATTACTCCATACTTTCCTTGCTGTTAGCCACATTGTTAAGGGCTAAATGGAAGGGAAGTCCTGTACAGATTGTGCCCTGAGCAGTGCCCTAGGAGACTCATGTCACGCTGCAAAAGGCTTTGTGCTGGCTCCGTGTGTGGCTCTGTTATATCACTAACACTTTCACATGGGGACCCCGCGGTGGAGACAGTCCTAGTTTGTTCCTTCAAATAGCCAGGAGATGGGAGAGGTCCGAAACCACCACCATCGCTGTCGCCAGGCCTCATTCTTTTTTCTTTTTTCCCCTTTCTCCTTTCTGTATGTCCTGGGGCAGTGTTGGAAAGAGAAAGGAACGGAAAGAACAAGGAAGCCAGGAAGAAGGAGAAATGAAGGAGAGGAGGGGTTGCTGGATTTGTCTTTGCTTTCATGCACTGGGCAAGCAGATTTAGACTCCAAGTGTCAACTAGAAAAACAGCCATTGTGGACAGGCCCTACTTGCCCCCCCAGCAGAACACTTTACAGTCAATAGAGCTAGTGCACTTGTCACTAGGGCACAATGCAGCCCTTTGCCTTCTTTTCAGCCCAGCCGGGTCCGAGCAGCCAGACAGTTTTCTGAATAAGAGCGAGTGATTCTTGCCCCCCTCTTCCTGCTCTTCTTTCAGGAGCCGGACCACACCAACTGAGTTTGTAAAATGGCTTCACTGTTGGGCCCGAGCAGAAGGCCAGAGAATGTTATTTTGCACCAAAGTGGCATTCCCTCCACCCCTTTCTCTCAGGCCAAAATGAATGTATCCAAGGCGGTTTGCAAAAGCCAATGAGCCCCACCAGACAAAGGAGATTAGGTTTGGCAACTTGGCAGTAACAGGTGTACTTTGACTGTGTTGGGACCACACGGGGGGCGACTTTTGCCGGCTGTCTGACTATTCTGCTAGCTTTCTTCAAGGATAAACATGAAATTGGCTTTGTGCTTTTGCATGGTTTCAGACCTTGTCATTCTTGTCAAAGGCGTTCCCACCCCAGCTGCCCACGGCGAGATTTTGAAAGGGAAAAACACTAGCTTTATTTCGCTATTTTTTTTATGATTTACAAAGTTTTATCAAGGGATATTCAGGGGATCTTGGCAAGGCTCACCCAGGGGAGGGAGTTAAGGGTAAACAATGCAGGCTCGCGGTGAAAGAGAGACTGTTTAGTGCTTTGTACAGTGCAAGAGCATGAATACATTTCCACATTTAGGCCAGTGACTGATGCTGAGGATGGGAAATATCTTTAAAGGGAATAAGAGGACTTCTTTCTATCAACATTGCCAACCACAGTAATTCAAGCCATTGAACTCCGATCCCCCAGACGTGGAGAAAAACAGTGCATGCATTTGTTTGTTGCAGAGTTAGAGTTTTTACTGAGAGCTTCAGAAAAAAAGCCCATTCTAGTGAAATGACTTGGCAAAGTGTCAGTGAAGGGTCTGTTCAGGCTGAGGCTGCTCCTGCTGCCATTGTGCTGCTCGCTCTCGCACCTACTGTACGAGTCCTGAGTAAGTACACAATTTCATTGTTGTGTGAGCTGTTAATATCAGACGCTCCACAATGGACCCATTCGCCATATTTGCATAAGGCACTTTTCCAACAAGGACCCAGAGAGGGCTTGAAAGCTGGCCCACTCCAGCTCCAATGGCAAAAAAATGTCAAGTGCCAATTAGGAGAGGTTTGCCACAATTCAGTACCCCACCCCTGTATGCAGCCACCGCTCCCCTGGCCGTCTACCCACCCCAGCCTATCACACTCTCAGTCACCCTGCTTCTGTCACCTTCTTCTGGCCATTTCAGACACAGACACAGGAGACAAAAGCTGCTTCCTCCTCTGCTGTCTAATGGAAGATCCTTTCTGCCGGCCCAGTGTGCGAGCTCCAGCAGACTGCAGACTGTTGTGCGATTAGTCAGCTTCCTTTGTTGATTTGCATGAATAGAGGTGCTAAGTATATATGGCTTAACCTGGGAGTTACACTCCATCTGCTATAGGCAATCATGGGCAGAGCAGAGACACACTCAATTTCCACACTCTTTATGACTTTATGTAGGTGCTAATAGTATTACATACAACTATCACATCCTATTAGGTGGAGGGGGCGCTGCCTTTATCGACAACACAATGGTATGCATTGGATTTTTTTACGCCTCGACTTGTCAGCTTCAGTTTAACTGTTTATATAGATGAAAACGGTGTAAAAAGATGGATTATCTTCTTTAACTCAAAGAGATAAGGCTGCAGGAGATTGTCAATGTCTTTCTATTTCCAGTAATCAAATGTTTACATCTTAGCAACAAAAGCCTGGATCATCAAACACCAAACAGCAGAGTGTAAAATCACAGCAATGCAGAAAATCACATACAAAAATGAAGCCGTCCACACAATGAAAGAATGTAATCATGTTTGCCCAATTGGACTACTGTTGTTTTCCAGCAAGCATTTACCTAACTTACCGCCTCCTGCCACTCACACAGATTTTTCCTGTGTCCCTTTTTCCTTTCATTCTTTCATTCAATCTCTGTGTCGAGCTCTTTTTTCCCACCCTTGATTCTCAGATGGTTGGATCTGATTTGCATGCATTTGCATAATGAAAGTCATTTGCATGCTCAGGGGCAGACTGTACCATGAGAACAGACATGAAAAGGTGTGTGTGTGTGTGTGTGTGCGTGTTTGTATGTGTGTCTATGCGTGGCCGCCTCGCATCTGCATACGCAATCCCCGATGCTGGAAAAACCTGTGCCCTCTGATTTTTGGTGGTTTTCTGCGTTCCACAGGCTACAGCACCGATGCCAACGAAGCAGGCTGGCAAGGGGAACAACAGAGCGAAGGAGGAGGGGTTTCTGTTGATTCTACTCCTCTGCATCGCGCCACCCGCCCCCTCTCCCTCCATCCTTAGCACACTGCCCCTCTTTCCTGTACAACAAGACGCCACCATCTTAGAGCACAGCGCTGGCACGAAATGGAAGAGGACCAACGACGCAGGTAACGTTCGCACAAAAACACGCGATGGCACCAAACCTCAGGTCGGCTCGGTATCCTCGGCGAGTCCGCAAAGCCTCCGATTCCCAACCTTCTCCGACATCGCTGCTATTTACTGCGGGCTTCATTTCTAATCACCGTTTGTTAATTGCGCGGTTCTCGATGGGCGGAGGAGGGGGGTAGGCAGGACTATTTTTTTGATGCACGTTCACATTAAATCACTCCAATCTCAATGCTTCTCTCTGGAGGCTTTCAGTGGGCATCTGTGCTGCCAAACCACATATCGTTTTTATGTTTTTTTTCCATTTGGGAATCCTTGTGCCATCTCCTCAGACAGTGACATGGCGACAGCTGCCATTTTTAAACTGCTGCACAAAAGGGCCATACTGTACGGACTATATACAAGCTTTTTTTCACTGCTAAATATAAGTTGTAATTTCCGAATGCATTAATTGTTCCATATTAACACAATTATACCAGTGTTAATCCTCTGTGCTTTGAAATGAGGTCAGTGTGTGATGAGAGAGTGATAACCGCTGCTTCTCCCTCTGAATATGACCAATATAAATCCACAGCTAAAAATAGGCAACTGAAGGAGATCAGTGGCAGATGGAAGTTGGAAAGTGGGGCATTGATAGTTTAAGTCGAGATTCGTTCTCGTGGCTGGTGCTGGCTTGACAAGTCGAGTATTGTACTCCCAGAGTGCACTTATTGCTGTAGGAGTCTATTATTCCATCCTGTTAACTTGAATATTTGAAAAACGCTAAAACTGAAACACCAATTAGCAGCACTCAGACTTTGAGTTTGATTGAGTAAGTCAAGCAGTAAACAATGCACACTATTGTTCTGAGAAACAGACCTAGTTTGCAAAGGTCAGTGGCAGAGAGGTACCAGAAAAGCAACTATCTATAATGATGTAATATTTCTCAAGGGATTTCTCTGTAGCTTAAAACTCGCTGATGTGTCTTTATTAAAATAGATTTCGACCAAAGTACTCGCCTTGGATTTAATATTGTTTCCAAATTAGGCCAAGCTTTGCAAATTAATTTTAAGTCCAGGCGTCGCTTGCTTTGCTAAGACTTTGCGTTGGTAACTGTGTCAAAGGCAACGTGCGCTAATCACAGAAAGGCCTCCATAAACAGGTGGTAGATTGAGCCAAGGGGCCAGGGCCGTTCTCAATTTACTGTGTAAATTATGCAGAGCCCAAAACAATACAAACAGTAGACAGTGGAGTGGCTGGCGTTGGCTAATGAGATGATGAGAAGAAGCCTGGGAGGGCTGAGGTTGAGGGGGTTATGTCTGTGTGCGAGGGTCTGGAGCTGGCAGGGCTTGCAGACTGTTCCATCAGACTGTGGAGAAAGAGGGAGGGAGGTGGCAGGCAGCTGGGGCACCCTACCCCCATTCAGCACCAGCCTTGGGAACCCCTATGGCAGCGGTCTCCTGAACACTGGCATAGAGGGGCCCCTAAAATGTGTCTGCAACCCCCCATCTCTGCCGTCCATTGCCACCATGACTATCCCTCCGCCTTCTGTCTCCCCAAACAACCCGCCACCCCACCCCTCCCCTCCCCTCTCCTCTCTCTTCACCCTAATGTGAGGCTCAGGGCCTGGGAAGGACTTCAAGTTCACGGCCAGACCTCCTATTGAGCTGACAGGCTGGCTGTTTGCTCAATTCGGATCCCCATTCAGAGAGGTTCTGGAGGACTGGGGGAGGAGTACGGCTGGAGACGGGACACCATAGAGCCGTGATAGCTATTCATTCAGACACGGAGGAGAGGAGTTGGGGGCGCGTTGATAGAAAAACAGTGAGGAATCCAGGGCTCTAAGTTTGCTTTGAGCGGTGTGCGCCTCTCTCGCACTCTTTTGGACTCTTAATTACCGGCACCTTCCACTTTTCTCCCTCCCTTTCTCTGCTTACACACCCCACACCCAGCTCTCCCCCATCTCTCTCTCTCTCTTTCTCACACACACACACAAAATCACAATCATTCTCATCATCCTCTCCATCCTCTGGTTTTATTAGGCCACATGCTGGGGCTGTAAATTTACCATTAACAAGCTTATTCACTGTAGTCCTCTCAACAAAACAAGACCATGATGCCGATAACTCAAAGCGACACCAATACCCAAAACTTCCTTTTATGCCCCCGACCTCCGTCTGGGCCCCTCCCTCTCCGCTGGCTCCTTATACCCACGGATTGGAGCATATTTGCAGTAATTTGTTCCTCCAATCTCCCCTGTCTGTCTGCCTTACCTCATTTACATTGAAGGGTAAAAGGGAGAGGTCTCTACATTTAAACCATTTATGATATCGCGCTCTTCAGGTTAGCTCCAAACGCTCCGACTTGAACTCCGGTTTTGGTTCAATCTGCACTCTACGACCTGCGCTAATGTCTTGTAAGTTGCTTGTCTGAGCTGACGGAGAAATGTTACAGAACTTTTTTTTTTTTGGAGAATGGGCTTGTAAAGTCCACATCGGCCTAGCTTACAGCGCGTCACATGCTTCCACTTTGTATTAGCAGCTCGTAGCGTACCAGGCTCCTCTAAGCTAGCCCTTCCACTCCCAATCCCTGCTCACTTTCAGAACAATGTCGCCTACTCACACCCATTCAACGCACGATTGTGAAAGCATATTATAGCCCCAGAATTAGCCCAGTGCTCTTAAGTCACATTTAACTTAATTCTTTCTTCTCTTTCCTCTTCTCAGAAAATCCTGCAAAATGGGCCAATCATGGAAAATGGACCAATCCCAATGGAACAAGTGGACAACATGCGATAATGCTACTGGCTTAGACTCCATATGATATTGCACTGCTGAATATTGGACATTACAAACTTTTGGATCTTCCCGGGTGGTGGTAGACTCTCACGGGCGATGGACACTAGACAGAGACGAATTTCGTTTTGTGCGATTTTTTAAAATGTTGTATATTTGCGACTAGCTTTTTTTTGTTTTTGTTTACTCTTGTTTTGAACTGTGGCCCTGTTGTGTGTTTGTTATTTGTTTTTGGTTATGCAGTAGTTGCGATAGGACTGAGTGAATGTGAGACCCACGGCAGCAGTCAATATTTCTGCACTGCGATTGGACGGCTCCATGTGTCACTCGACGCACTGGTGAAGGAGTGAGCTGTCAACCTTTATACTCTATGCAACTGTTTCAATCTCAAACCTATTTTTCTCACTTTTCGTTCACATTGTATTGTTTTAAAACAGAGATGGAAAGCAGACCGGTTTCCTGGATGGATATAAGACAGGAGATTATATCCTGGTTAAAAAAAACGTCAGGTGTTTTTCAAATTGTTCTTTTTAGACCCGCCCCTGCTTCCTGATTGGACGAAACTAACAAAAATCCTCGTCTGACAGGTGAACTCTCTCCCCATTGGCTTAACTAGTCTGCTCCAGCAAATATTATTGCTACTGCTTATGCCAAGTTCCTTAAACTACATAAAAGTTTAACCCTTGTGCTATCCTCAGCCACAGTGATTAAAAATACCCTAAATGATAAAGAAAATCAAGCTGAATTTTTATAATTTTTCATATAGACCCCAATTTAGGGTTAATTTTTTTCTTTGGTGGGTAATTTTGACCCGAAGGCAGCACATGGTTTAAAAGAGACTTACTTTACATTATAGTTGTCATAAATAAATGAATAACTAAAATGCAGGACTGCAAAAATACAAGATTTAATCAACAAAAATCCAATCAAAATCAAAGAAACAGGGACAAAATTATTATGATTAAGTAAGAGGAGAGGGGCAAACCAGGGGTAAAGGTACCATCAAAAAGTCCACACCAGGACAATAGTTTAACAGCATTTGCAGTTATGGACATCACCTTTAATGGTTGATAATTATGTCATTCTTCAGCCAATCTCAAAACTTAAACTTCTTCTAAAGTCACCGTTTTGCGTTGAAAATCTCGCCCACCACAGCTTTCCATCTCCTGTTTTTTTGGGGGGGGGGGTACCAGTCTTTCATTCCCAAGTGCTACATCTCCTGATACAGTTGAGCAGAAATGAAATCGGTGGCAATGTGACGGATGACAGGGCGGTTTCATCTGTAGATATATTGGATTCCACATTCCAACAGCCTTAAAAGACTTTGATTCTGCGCCGCACCCACGAGACAATCTCTATCAACACGCTCCAGCCTTTACACTTTTAATATTCCTGACAGCGCTGGCATGTTTGATCAGTCGCATCTAAGCCCAGAGCCCGCGTGGGAAGAATACTACACTTCCCAGAGTGCTTTGAGAGCTGGGGGCTTCTACACCTGCGACGATAGACTCTCTGCTACAACATGACAAACACATATACTTGAAGTAGGCTCTTAATTTCCTGTCAGGGGCTTTAAAACCCTCCCATACACGCAAGTCCGATCTAATAATGATCAAAGTCTAATTCACACCATTTTAATTTCTTCGGAAGTGGCAATTTTTTATTAACGACTGATAATCTATGCAAATCTTTTTTTAAATATGACTTTAAACAATCTATGCAATTGATTCAAAAGAGGACTATCTATCTGGGCCTAATTTGAAAAAAAAATGTATTCTTTTGATAATCATGCAGTGCTCGAGACAATGACTTATCTGCCTGGATCAGCTTGAAAAGATGTTTTTAATCTGCGCTACAGAAAGTCACTCTGCTCGTCAGGCCAGAGGCGTGGGGAAGTATCAACCCAGACTTCAGTTAGAACGTCTTTTCCCCGTTAAATCCAGATCAAACACGGCTTCTTATGCGACGTACGCAGATTTTTATTGTCTGTTTTTGCGATGCAAGTTGTGATGGAGACTTCACCGCATGTGCCTTGTTGTGTTGAGACGTTTTTCTGTGTGTTTTTAATCATAATAAAAGTTTACATTGAAAACAGCTTTGAGTTTGAAGTCAATGTATTTTCTGTATATTTAACCAGGAAAGTCAGGGCAAGACGCAGCAAAAGTCACAAACATTACATAAGATTACAGATTATAAAAACTGTTAATGTCAATGAGGATCAATCAAGTGCTCTCAGTCTGGATTTAGAAGTGTTAAATTCAATATTTTTTTGAATGAACAGTAATATAATATAATGAACATGATATAAGACGATTGTGTACGTCCAAAATTAGGCTCATAAGTGTCTTTATCTCGTCTTCCCACATTTAAAATCTGATAAATTATATGTATTTTAATTAATATTATTTATTTTGGTTGGGACACTGCTTGCATCTCTCTGGGTTGTATAGCCTTAGCCAAATATCAGATTCAGACTTGTTTTTATTGCCATTGGAAGCAACACGGAAGTCACAAACCCAGAATTTGCTTTGGCTCAAGGTGCAAACACGTTAAAAGTAGAGTAAAAACAAAAAATAATATTTATATTTATACAATGTCAAGTATATACGCACACACAACAGTATATACTATATAAATAAAGCTTACTTACTTACTTACTTACATTTAGCAGTGCAGGTTGAAGTGACATTAGTATAAGGTGAGGATCGTAAAGGGCAGGGGTCGCAAACACGCAATCGTCCACCCTGAAGGCGAGTTTGAGAGGTGGAGGAAACCGGAGCACCTGGAGGAAACTCACGTAGACATGGGGAGAACATGCAAACCCCACACAGATAGGCCGTGCCATTGTGGTTAGGTTGGAAAGGACACAAACAGGGAAACACAAATACTTTGGCATAATTCAGACAGAATATTGTCAAAAGTTTAGACGTTTGTGGAATCTCTTTGATCTATGAGCTCTCCGCTGGTTTTAGCCAATCAGAGCAAAGTATCTATGGCAGGGCAAGGGGAGTTATATATAAGGCTCAACATAACAACAAAAGAAACTTAAAAGCACTCAAGGCAATCAAAATCACAGTAATATAGAGTAAAGATACAATCCTTCAGGCGTTTGCAGCTTCACAGAACTGTTTTTAACCTGGATTTGAGCATTGTCAGAGAAGAAGCCTGTCTCACATTTTCAGGAAGACTGCTTCAGATTTTTGCTCTGACCCATCTCCAGACTGCTAAGAACTTTCATGATTTAAGCCATATATTTTGAAGACTTCTCTCTTTATTATCCAAAATATATGCTTTGTTTTTATAGCCTTATCTTTCTGATAATTCTGACCCCTGCGGGGCACTTTCTCCAGAATATTCCACGGACAAACAATGGCTTTTCCACAGATCTGATTGGTAATTTGACATGTTGCAGGGACAGTGATTAGATCTTCTGAACCTTTTATGAGACTGTTTGTGAAAAGTTGTTTAAACTGAGCTGGTCATTACAACAGTCTGCAGAAGTCAGCAACATTTATGGACATTGGTCTCAGCCCCTTATGGACCAATGGCTCTATGTGTTTTTGATCTTTGCATTTCCAGTATTGCAAAAGTAGTTATCTCAGAGGACTTTATAAAGCTGTCGATTCGCCAACACGGATCAGAGAATGAAACAAGAAATGCAATGATAAAAAACACATAGAGCCATTGGTCCATAAGGGGCAGAGACCAATGTCCATAAATGTTGTTGAATGTCAAATGTCCTGGACCATCATCACTGTCCTTACACCAGTGGTGGGCAAACCCCGGCCTGTGGGCCAGATGCGGTCCTTTGGGCAAATCCATCTGGCCCCCAAGCTCTCCTCAGTTTACATAGATATAATATAAAGTTTATCTTATCTAAACTATAAAATCCTTCTGTGTTTGTTGCAGAGGTCTGGAGTCACAGTTGCGTTCCTCGCTCTGCCCCAATATAAAATATATTAATATAATGTATTACATTTTCCACACACACCTGTCGCACAGAAAACACCTGATCCACAAAATCTCTCCTGAATCCACACTCAGCCACTAAAGCACATCCAGGTACAACACTTATTCTCTCCATATCACAATTCTTCCATAAAACTTTACAATAACACTCAACTTCCTCTACAATGGCCAAACCGGGCGAGAGTAGCTCAGTTGGTAGAGCATTGGCCTTTGAGCCAGAGGGTTATGGGTTTGAGCCCGACCTTCACCATCGACTCCCACTGTCTGCTGTCGTTGTGTCCTTGGCAAGACACTTAACCTCTGGGAACACCAGCCACAGTGGGGTGGCTGCGGCTGTAAAGTGCCAAACTGCCGTTGTGTCCTTAGGCAAGACACTTCACCCCCATTGCCTAGAATGAGTCTGGTGTGTGTGTGAATGGTTGGTGGTGGTCGGAGGGGCCGACAGCACAGACTGGTTGCCTCGCTTCTGCCAGTGTGCCCCAGGGCAGCTGTGGACGTTTGGACCTTTCGTTAATGTCCTTTCCCTTGTTCTGATCCGATTGGTCGTTGTGGGTGTTGCAGAGACAGAGACCAGATATTTGTCCTTGGTCCGAGTCCAGCCCTGGATCAGCAGCATTGGCCTCACACTGTGCGGAAATCTGTTACCGTTGGATCATGGCAGAGCCCATTGATTTACAGTCAGTTTAGTATGGTTTGATATGGGACGGAATGGAATCGTATGGTTTGGTCTAGTCTGTTCTGGTCTGGTCTGGATGGTTTGGTATGGTATGGTATAATTTGGTCTGCTACGGTATGGTATGGTTTGGTATGGTATGGTATGGTATGGTCTAGTATGGTTTGGTAGGACTTTTTATGGTTTGGTCTAGTCTGTTCTGGTCTGGTCTGGTCTGGTTTGGTATGGTTTGGTTTGGTCTGCTACGGAATGGCATGGTTTGGTATGGTAAGATTTTGCCTGGTTTGGTAGGGTCTGGTCTGGTATGGTATGATATGGGATGGTTAGGTCTGTTTTGGTATGATATGATACATTATGGTATGGTCTGGTCTGGTC